CCCCCGCCCCACCCCCGCCGTCCTACACAACCAACCTCAATATTACAAGCCGGAACGCCTGGCCAGCCCAGTCCCAAAGTGCAACGGCACAAGCCCAAAACTGCCTCAGTGATCATGAAACGCAAGACGAGCAAGAGATACTTGTCCCCAGCAAGGGCACTTAGATCTGTAGCCGACAAAGGGTGGGAAATCAGGCGCAAAACTTGATATGCGATAAGCCTCGCCGCCTAACAACAGCCCAGGCCTCACGGCGGCCCTCACGGCGCGGGGCGCCTCACCAGAAAAGCACCGAAAAGGAGCCGGAATTGCACAACCGCCCAGCAAATAACAAATTCATTTTCAACTTTGTACAAAATGCAGTCTTACGTACCTTCGCCGTCCCCAATAATTTCATCTTCGCTTCCAGACGCCATTTTTTTCGTAAATAGGAGCGTGAGCTTGCTTGTGCTTGTGTTCTTAACAACGACAGTGTGTGGTGCGTTCTAGAACATCAAAACGTGGGCACTGGTGCGTTGGCGCAAGCGCAAAAGCGCAAAAGCAGACAAGAACCCTCAGGTCAAAAGTGGTCAAGTGACATGTCCATTTGGCAACAGTGTGTAGGGCTAATGTGTTTTCTGTTTTAAAAACACAAGAATATCGTCTATTTATAAAAATTCCAAGTGACTTTTGACTTGTTCAAGAATATTCAACTAAATGTTTTGTGCTCCTTCCGTTTTAGAGTAGGGCTTACATGAGGAGTTTCCTTTTTCACTTCAAAACGATATTCACATGGTGTTCTGAGGCCGAACGTTACGAAGATGCTGATTGGCTAGTCAGTTGCGCATCGAGGATTGTCAACCAATGAGAGGCTGGGAATCCCTTCAAAACCGACGCTTTCATCTTAACTCGACTTCACACCGGTTCGTCTTGCCCGGTCCATGTTTTGCGCGGCCTTTCGTCGTTTTGTTGTTTGGAGTAAGCGCTTCGCTTGTGGGGATCGCGTTATTGCGAATTTCGTTCTAAAGTTTACGGAACCTATTGAATTCCGTTCGGGTGGTACATTGCCCGTTTGTTCGGGCACGAGATTTTGCGCGGAATTCTATTCTACTCGCACTGTGCAACCCATCTTACTGATCAACATGTCACCAAGGGGCAAAGCGAAGGCAAAAGTAAGTGTGGTTTGTATACAAACCGCCTCGTTCTTGAGTTGAGATAGATCAGTATGATGGGTACCAAGGGTTCCATTTTCATTGATGTCTATTTTCATTTGCGGTGTCATTAAATTATCTGCTGATAAGACTTCTTGTGTTGCATTGTTTACAACAGAGGCAAATGATGTCATGAAAGAGTGATTTTGATGTGATTGCTAGACTAACCACCTTAAAGTAATTTTTTATCCCTTTTATAGATTCTATCTATTTTTCTAATTCTTCAGTTTTCGAACATAATCTGACGTTTTCTGTGATAACTAGCAGCCTTCTACTAATCAGTACAGTGTTTTATCTATTTCCTAACTTAAATGTCCCATCTTTCGTTTACAGCATGTTTATTGTTGAACTCTACCTTGCAGATCTGATTTTCTCTAAGATTTATTGTTTCAGTGTTAACTAATTGGTACTTTCATTTTTGGTTTCAGAAAAACACTGAAGAAAATGGAAGCGAGAAACGCGTTAGAGAATCAAGGAATGTAAAAGCCGCTTCGTACAAAGATTTTTCCGATTCTGAAGATGATAAGCCTGTTCGTAGGAGGAAGAAAGACTCAGATTCCGAGGTATCACTTTCTGAAGAAGAGAAACCTAAGAAAGTAGTTGCTAAAGGAAGAGGTAGGGCTGCACCACGATCGAAAAAACAGGAATCTGAGTCAGATGAGGCATCGGAATTCAACAGTGATGAATCCTCTGGAGGGGATTCAAGGAAAAAGAAGAAGAAACCAGCCAGGAAACCAGTTAGGTCTCTACGAACTCCTCAACGAGCATCTTATAAAGACCTATCAGATTCCGAAGATGAGTCTAATAATGAAGAGGAGGATGATGAAGAATCATCAGAGAAGGAAGATAAACGAGCTGGAGGCAAGCGGAAGAGAGGTAGTCCACCAAAGAAAGTGGGAAAAAAGAGCAAGAAAAATGAATCGTCAGGATCTGAAGATGAAGAGCTGGATGAGGAGGAAGAAGAGGAAGTAGAGGATGAAGAGGAAAATGAAGAAGATGGGGAAGGAAAGGGAAAAGCCGATAAACCCTCCTCAAAGAAGAAAGCTGTTGATGAGACTTCTAGTGAACCTGGCAATAAATCTAAGGGAGAATCAGAGAAAAAAGTTGAAAAGTCTTCAAGACCAGAACATGAGTTATCAGAAGAGGAAGATGGTGATGAGGAAATGGAGAAGGAGCAGCCAGTCAAATCAGATTCAAAAGAAGTTAAAGATGCTGGAAATGATACGAAAAAGAGAGGAAGGCCCCCTAAGAATGCTGCAAAGGTTGAGGAAGATGAAGATGATGATGATGCGGAGGAGGAAGAACCACTACCCAAAAAAGCGAAAGCTGGGGAGAAGGCCTTATTGAACAAAACGGAAAGTAACTATGCTTCAATTGATTTTTCTTCCGAAGCAAAAACAAAAGATGGTAAGCCATGGAATTTTAAAATATCATCTTGGAATGTGGCTGGTCTGAAGGCATGGGTAAAGGTATGTTGTATTTGTTTAACTGCTCTGTGTTATTATTCTATCAGCTGTCAATTAATTACAATCTTTGATTCAGAAAAATGGAATGGAATATATTAAACGTGAAGATCCTGACATCATTTGTCTGCAAGAGACAAAATGCTCTGAGAAGAAACTACCCCCAGAATCAAAAGTAGAGGGGTACCATGCATATTGGCACTCGGGTATGACTAACTTAGTTATTCTAATCACATTTGAAATCTGTTTCTTTTCTATCTTTTATTTATATCTATCTCTAATGATTGTAGGCGAAAAAGAGGGATATGCTGGTGTTGCTATCCTTTCTAAAACAAAACCCTTGGATGTCAAATTTGGCATTGAAAAGACCGAACTCGATAATGAAGGTCGTGTCATCACAGCTGAATACGAGAAGTTTTACCTCGTTAATGTTTGTAAGTAAACATCTGAACATATTTTTCTGGGCTTTAGTCCATAGTTAATGTAGCTCCTTAGTTCTGGATTTTTGAGTTAGCAATGAATATGTTTGTTTTTTCAGATGTTCCAAATGCAGGTCAAGGCTTAAAGTCCCTTCCGAGGCGTCTAGAGTGGGATCCAGCTTTCCGTGCCTATCTGAAAAGCTTGGATGAAAAGAAACCTGTTATTTTATGTGGAGATTTGAATGTGGCTCATAATGAAATAGGCAAGGCACTTTTCCTATCCAATGCATGTTATCAAAATATTTCAGCTAGACTAACTTTTCCCTTAATTTTTGGTACAGATTTAGCCAATCCTAAAACAAACACCAAAAGTGCTGGCTTTACACCTCAAGAAAGAGAAGGAATGACAGAACTGCTGAAGCAAGGCTTTGTTGATACTTTTAGAAGTTTATATCCCGACAAAACAGGTGCCTACAGTTTTTGGACGTACATGAGTAATGCTCGTTCGCGGAATGTTGGCTGGTTGGTATTTTTCTGTGAATATATTTGTGCAAATATGTCATTAGTCTCTAATAACTCTTTGCTCTGCCTTTTCCAGGAGGTTGGACTACTTCATCACCTCGGAGAGATTCGTGCCACAAATTTGTGACAATGTCATTCGGAATGAAGTTTTTGGAAGTGACCATTGTCCCATTACCTTGTTTGCAAATGTGTAAACAATTTCTGGAAAAATGTATATAGGACCTTCACCTTTGCGCATCTATTTTAAAAAAGTTTTCTCTGTACTTCATTCCAATCTTATGTGCATCTTTATTCTCCATTGCAACTGTTTGTCTCAAGTCAAGGCATTGAGCATTAGTACCATCTTGTAGTTTCTGCTTTGAGAGTAACTTTTAACTATTAATCTTGATGGCTTTTCATTGAGCATGTACCATTCAAGCCATGAAGAATATAGTTCTGTGATGGCATGAAGTTATGTAACTGAAAAGGGGGGTGAGGTCAATAGCTTCAGCAAGCTACATTTTTATCTGTCTTCTGTATGTCCTTTTAACCTCTTAATGATCTCAAATCAAGTGGGTCTGGCATGCTCCATGTCTACCTGACCTTAAATTTTACGATTCTTCTGTCTCATATTAGATTCTTTACAACCTGTGTTTTAGATTTATAGAATAACTAAGGAAACTAACGAAATATTGTTGGCTCTGGCAGGGAATTGATATTACTGCTACTTCTGAACTGCTGTTCTATGAGACCCTTTCCTTCTCAACTAGACCTTTGTTGGTCGAAATCATGAAAGTCAAGTGAAGAAGAAGACTTTGGTATGTTTCCCTAGCCTGATAACTAAGTTTAGTCTCTTATGTTGTGACAAGTTTTTTTTCTTTTTTTTTTTTTTGTTTATAGGCAAAAGCCTTTTGTACATTGTTTTGTTTTTGTTATGGTCAATTCTTGAGATGCCATATCAAATATGCAATTTAATTGTTTATTGACCGATATTATGTACACGCTGCGTGTACATAAGCCAAGGAAAACTTATGTGCACGCGGAATGCGTGCACAAATAACAATTTGTGTTATGCGCACGCGGAATTTTGTGCACAGAAACGCGTGCGCATAATTTTTCTAGGACAGATTACACGCTGCGTGTTATCTACCCCTAAATAGCTATGCGCACGCGGAATTTCCTTTTAAGCGTGCGCATAGTGGAACGAAGAGAACAGACACGATGCGTGCGGACTACGGCACAATCGTTATGCGCACGCGGGGAATTCAGGGGCCTACGGAGGGGGGCAGTTCATAAAGGGTACAGAACGCGCTATCTGCCAGCCGTGTTCGCTGGACGAGTGGACAAGGGCGTGCACGTCTATTTAAGAGTTCCAGGTTCAAGTCTTGATGAAACCAGGGTAAAAAATGCGTTCAAATAATTATTTTCACATGAACCTGGAACTCTAAAATAGACGTGCACACCCTTGTCCACTCGTCCAGCGAACATGGCTGGCAGATAGCGCGTTCTGTACCCTTTATGAACTGCCCCCCTCCGTAGGCCCCTGAATTCCCCGCGTGCGCAAAACGATTGTGCCGTAGTCCGCACGCATCGTGTATGTTCTCTTCGTTCCACTATGCGCACGCTTAAAAGAAAATTCCGCGTGCGCATAGCTATTTAGGGGTAGATAACACGCAGCGTGTAATCCAACCGCACCCGACTCTCGCTAGGCGGCGCTGACGTTATTTTCTGTCTCTCTCACTTTTACGCCCGTGTAGCCAACATCAAAACATCAAAAGAAATCAATTCAAAAACATTAAAAGCGATCCAAAATCACACGAAATCGTGAGGATTCCTCTAAAGTAATTTTGACTACCCATAAACATGAAATAAAAGTAGAGGTTTTAAAATGTGTTTTTCATAAATTTTGTTTGTACGGTTGTCGTCACTTTTGTTTACATCTACCACCAGCTGATCTGATCTTTTGCCTTTTCTATTTAAATGTAATTACAAAAATTAAATTTAAGAAAATATTTTGTAAGTTTATTGTTTATTACAAGATTACAAGAACAGTTGTAAGTATTCGAAATATTATTATGATTCAAGCAAAACTACACTGTACACAATTTCTGTTATTTTACAACATATTTTGGGACAAAAAATTAAAGAAATTGTCAACGATGACAATTAGTTGATCAAATATTTGACAAAAAGTCTACGACAAGTTATTCATAAGCTTACTTTCACAAATTCCCCACATTCCCAAATCATCCAGACGATTTCTATCACATGACAGTTAAAATGTGTACGGTGTAATCATGTAGAAGGTGTTGGATTTTATTTGGATCGTTTATCAATGCCAATATTTTGTTGTTGTTGTAGTTTTAGCTATGGTTGTGTATCGAAAGTGGTGTGAGGCTTTGGGCTGTAATAGCTTCAAGCACAATCCTCCTGACCCTAGAGACACCCGAATGCACACCTATCCAAAAGATCTTGATGTGTAAGTACTCTCAGACCTGAACTTTGACTATATTCAAGATAATCGAAGCACTTATACAAACTAGGACAATAATGAAATGGTTTTGCACTGTGCTTTTTTTAAATTAGGTGCAAGATATGGGTCCAAGTTGGTGGAAATCCGGAACTTTTGAAGGTGAACTCCTCAGATTTGCACAAATCATACTACCTCTGTGCAAATCATTTTAATGATGCTGACTACACAGATGGCCGAAAAAAGTTTTTAAAAGCTGGAGCCATTCCTTCAAATTTTAAAGGACCACCTCTTCCTGAAGATGCCATGGCAGTTTGGCCACTTTCAAATGTCCTCAAGATCAAGCGTAGGCAACGCTTGTTTCCACCTGCTGATGAGGATTTGCTGGGTTTGATTTTTAACATCTCTTTCTGTTTTTCCTGCCTTTCAATAATCCATATAAGCGGATCTAGTTTTGTTCAGGTATTAAAGTGAGCATGTATTGTTTGTTTTGTTTGTTGTAGATTCAATTGCAGATGATGAGCCAGAAATTGCTGCAAAATATAGGAAAACATCATTGACAACAGTAAAAAGAAAACGTGGTGATCTGGAAGCAGATGAAGAATGCAGGGATCCTGATCATGCAGGTGGACTCAATAAATTTATTTATATAATGAATGTTTTATATGCTTATTTCTTACTCTTGGTCTTGGTGCGACACTAAGCCCATTGTTAAGTCATTTGTTTTTGGGACATTGACTATTTACTAAATGTTGTTGATAAGTCAAAGTTTCATATTATCACAGATGAGTAACTCTTTTGTGTTTTGGTTTTGCAGTGAAACGACCCTCATTTGATGAATGTTCTGATATTCAGGCTGGACCACATGTGTCACGTTAGTATATAAGTTGAAGCAGTTGGGTTATTAAGAATATCAAGAGATGGGCTCCCTTTTATGATTTACTTTTTAAATTTCAAAATTCCTATAAATGCCTTTCACCAGATTTGGGAATTTTATCTCACATTAATGTTTTTGGACATCAGGGTGTTTTCTCTTCAGTGGGGGCCTGATGATTTGTATGATTGGTGTATAATTCAGTTCCACTGTTGTTGCAGGATCCATGCAAAGAACAGAGGCAAGCAGATCACGGAGTCCTCCTCCTATCAGGCTGACAACATCTCGAGTGGCCCTGGAAAGTGGTATAGGGGACCCCACTTCCCTGAGCCCTCGTGAATACCGTCTTGCCAGAACAGCTTTAAAATATCATGCCATGGCTAAGAGCACAGAATACGTTTTAAAGTGTTGTCGGCGACGTTCTGGAAATCTAAAAAAATTATTAAAGAAATCTACTATAGATAGTATAGAAGAAATGCTCATATCACCAGATGCAAAAATAATATTGGAATCCCAGTTTGTAAACTGGAGGAAAAAGCCACAAGGAAGAAGATGGACCCTAAAAATGAAGTGCCTGGCTCTTGCTATTTGGAAGCGGAGCCGTCGTGTCTACCGTTGGTTGTCAACAAGACTGGCCTTGCCTGCTGAGAGCACCTTAAGAGAATTACTGGTTGACATCCCACTACAGCCTGGTGTGAATCAGATTATTATGGACAATCTTTCTAAAAAGATAGCCAACTTTTCATCCAAAGATCGGGTTTGTCAAGTTATGTTTGATGAAGTGTCCTTGCGGAAAGGATTGTATTATAATAAGAAAATCAAAATAATTGAGGGTTTTGAAGACTATGGTTTGAACGGTAGAACTATGGGAATGGCATCTCATGCCCTAGTCTTCATGGTGAAAGGCATTCATAGAAATTTTAAACAGCCAGTTGCCTACTTCCTCAGCCGTGGTACCTGTCCTTCCCTCATGCTAAAAGATTTAATTATTAACATTGTACGTGCACTCACAGGTATAGGATTAATTGTTGTGGCCTCTGTATCAGACCAAGGCCCAACCAATCGTGCAGCTGTAAATGGTTTGAGACTGTCTTGTGAAGAAGGTTTCTATGATTCTGTGTATGAGGTGGATGGGAAGAAGATATGTCACATATATGACATACCACATATTTTCAAAAATATCCGCAACAATTTATTGAAATGTGATCTTGATGTTGGTTTGAAGAGAAAAGTGTCTTGGGATCACCTGATCCAATACAAAAAGGTATGTGAAGAAACTTTATTTAAGAAGACATCTATTACCAATGATCACCTCTTTCCCACAGGAAAACAAAAAATGAGATGCAAGCTAGCCATGGAGACTCTTAGTCATACTGTTGCATCGGATATTGCAGTCATTTTTTTGTCTAGTAAGGGCAAACTACTTAAAAACTGCATCACCACTGCCAAATTAATATCTGATTTAGATTTGTTCCTAGATTTGTCTCAAGGACAGGGACCAAAGGACAAAGAGAAACCTGTGCAGAGATGCTTTGTAACTACTGACAGTATACACCATGTCATGTGGAGAAGAATGATTACTGAAATGCAAAAGTGGAAGTTTATCAGAAAGTTTGGTAAAAATAAAGGTCAGACCCATGTCCCCATCTGTCTATCTGGCTGGATTGATAATATTAGGTGTTTTCAAAGGTTATGGAATCACTTGCACAAAAATTTTGGTTTTGATGCTCTAAATTTGCGTTGTCTGAACCAAGATCCCATTGAGAACTTTTTTGCAGTTATACGCTCCACTAATGGTTCTAACAGGAGTCCCACTGTGCAGCAGTTTAGTGCCTCCATGAAAACGGCTATTATAAATAACCTTTCCTCTGCTTTTCTGAGAGGTAAAAATTGTCAGGATGAATATGCAGAGTTGCTGTCTGATTTTTCTGAAATGATTGGTCAGAAAAGAGTAGAAAGCAGTAGCTCACCTAGTCCCAGAATAGAATGCTCCGTTATTCGGGGACATGGGGAGTTACCCTCCAGTGCATTTAGAAGTGACTCAAGATTTAAATGTAGTAGGCAAGATCCAGCAATGTGTTGCACAAAAATTGCACACAAGGTTTTATCAAAAGTAAAAGAAGCTTGTTCTGTTTGTAGAAGTAAACTGCTGGTACCTGCAGATGAAGCAAACTCTGATTATCTTCTACAGCAGTGCCTGCAGTTGACAGCATTGAACCGGCATTTGTCTGATATGAGGAAAAAAAAACAAACTAATATCTCTAGCTATGCTGATTTATTGCAGTTACTGACTTCAAAGGAAGAGACAATTAGAAATGTGTATGCTTCCCCTCATCTAATCAATACATTTTTGTTATGTCGTCGCAATTTCCTGCAGCAGTCTGAGTCGATCATATTCCATTCTGATGTTCATGAAAAAACTGTCCAGATATGTTCATCTGCCTCATTTGACTGGTTATGTGAAGACCACCAGCTCATCATCAGACCAATGCTAATAAACTTCTTTGTAGACTTCTTTTTGGAAAACATTTGTCAGAAAATAAATCAGATTACCAGGGATACTGAAAAACTAAAAGCCAAGAAATCTGCATTACGAAATATCTGGCGATCCAGAGTGCAAAATCATGCTGATGGAAGGACAAATGCTAAAGAAGATCAGGAATGGGAGGATGTGGAGAGTCTGCTGTGTTACTTGGATGGCATGCCAGAAGCATCCTCACCAGTGACCTCATCTTCAGCTAATATTGGTATTGTACTACTTTCTCTTTTTTTATCTGTCCCTTTGAGTAATTGTGTAGTTAAGGACTGGGAACTGTAGCAGATTCATCACATCATAATTCTGATTTAGACTATTGCAGCCTATCCTGGATAATAACACTGGAGTTTACCAATACAGAGTACTTTACCCTCTTTCTTGGAAATTATTGCATGTGATATAGGTTTCACCATAAGGCCTCATCTCTTCACAGATGTCATATATGGTGATATAAGGTTTGATCCTGAATTTTTTGTGGTTTTGTGTATACTGTTCTTTAAACTGCAACCTGGTGACAGGGCTGGGTTAGTAGCAGGGTCAATGAGCTGGTCGAATTGACAGCAGTACTGAAGTGTATTGTTGCTTCTTTGGAAGTCCTGAACCAACCCCTGGTATTTTTAATATGTGCAAAGTGTAACTAACATTTATGTTTCATGTCATTTATCATGCTATGATCATTTGGAAAAAAAAAACCACATACCCCCTGCAGTGCAGACCCTCGAGATACACCATTCATTATTTGGATTCATACCTTTCAAAGGGACACCCTTCCCTAGATTTGGATTTGTAAGTATAGGATAGGACATGGTGAAAATATTTCTGCTTTTGTACTGGGTATATATAAACGAGCTGGTCGAGTTTGTGGTAATACCTTTTTAATAAGTCACCATTTGTTTTTGTGTGCAGGATCACAAGTATCTAGGACTGCTACCCCTCCTCCAGCCCAGTCTCTTCAACAAAGTGCTCTTTTCACCCCTGTGCCTCCAAGTGGGACACTGCAGCATGTCCAACAGGGCTCACAAGTTACTCCTAAACCTCAAAGAGCTCTTGTCACCCCTGTGCCTCCAAGTAGGACCCTGCAGCTTGTCCAACAGGGCT